ACACAGTTGAAACCCAGTTTAATTTTTAATCATTTGCTCTTTGCTGTTTGTGAAATGCAAAAACAAAAATAAAAGTCACCTTACCATATCCACTAATGTTTACATTTAACTGGTGATTTCTCAAACAGTTTCTGGCATTCAGCATTTAGAAACCAGGGCAACAAATAAATATACATTTAAAATAAAAGAACAATTCAAAGCAATGGACAGAGAGAGGTGAAGAAGAGAGTGCAGGCAAGGTGGAGTGAGTAGAAAGTGACAGGGGTGATTTGTGACAGAAGGATAGTAGCACAAGTGAAAGGGAAGGATCGCAAGATGGTTGTGAGATCTGCTGTGATGTATGATGTGGAGACAATAGCACTAACAAAAAACAAAAATGAGGAGGCAGAGCAGAAGGACAGCTCAGATGGAGTGTTTTGAGACAAAGTTAGAGAGGAAAGGCTCTAACAGAAGAGTATGCAAGGGATAACAGGAGGCAGATGATGTGCTGTGGTGACCCCTAAAGAGAGCAGCCAAAATATAAATGATGAATTCATACCTAACCCCATATTTTTATCAACTAATAACAATGACAAAAGAGCATCAGGGTGATCTATAGTCAGGTAAAGGTCAGCACAACAGCAGCAACAAACACATTTTCCCTACATAAATCTGATTTAATCAATTTAAGCTCAGCACAAGCTCTTGGAGTTAAAGTCTGATATTTTCATTAACGGACACAAAGATGTGACGGAAAAACAAACGCTTTATTCTGTTGGCGCATTTTTTCAAATAAACTAATCGTTCAGACTATTTTTATTGTCGACCTGAAAAACCATCTCCCAAATCAGTCAGTAACCAGCAACAGCTTCACAACTGCGAGGCCAAAGTGAAAATCCTCGGGCTCTGTAGAGACTAAGGAAGCCACAAACGAGATGGTGCACCTGGATGACACACTGATCAGCCGTGTCTGACGAATTATAGTCTGACACCAGCTTTCTTAAGCAGTCAGTTTGCTTTCTCTTTATACTGCCAATTAACCTCCAACATACTTCAGTAATAAACAGCACCATACACAATCATGAGCAACTCCAGCTTCAAACTGCCTCAGTGTTTGGTAGCGCTTCATTCTCTTGACTGGATAAAAATTGGTTCTTATTTATAGAACTGAGTCCTAATTGGCTCCTACAAGCTTTCCAACAACAGAAATACAATGCGAGTGTTATCTGTATCACCGGGGAAGAATGAGATTGAAAACTTCTAGCAAATATTGACACTTTCTTCTTCTACTTGATTAAAACTTCAAACAACAGCCTTATAAAAATCAGTCAGTATCGCCTCTTATTTATCTTAGTTATCGAGCCTCTTTTTGGAGATTCTCAAGTGCAACTCCACCAAACGTGATGAGCAGAAATCGTATATTTGTTACATTTAAAGCAGACAGTAAATGCACCACATGTAAGGAGACCTCCAGAGTGCAAGAGGTTAAATTTAAGACCATTTATTCATAACTTTCACTGTAAAGAAAATAAACGTATCATCCCTTATCACGTCCTTTATATTAAGCCTGTTTTATATCATTCATGTTTACTACCTACACTCACCGGTCACTCTATTAGTCGCACTTTGCTTTTAGTGTGTTGGACCTCCTTTTGCCTTCAGACCTGTCTTAATTAGCAGCAGGCAGCAACAAACAGCAGCAGCAGTTGTTTTTCAGCTGCACATCCATGATGAGAATCAGAGAAAGTGGCTACAATGTGATCATGAAGTAGCAGTAACACTCAGGTAGGCAGTACCATTTAAATTATGCTTAATTGATGATAATATCCCCCACACCAATACATCGACAACAACCTGAACCTTTGATACAAAGCAGGATGCTGTTTATGGTAAATTCTGACTCTACCATCCAAATGTCACTGCATAATCTGAGACTCATCCAATCATGCAACCTTTTTCTAATCTTCTATTGTCCAATTTTGGTGAGCCTCAATTTTCTTATTCTGACAGGAGCGGCACCCAGTGTGGTCTTCTGCAGCTTTAGCCCACCTGCTTCAAGGTTTGAGATGTTGTGTGTTCAGAAATGGTCTTCTCCATACAAATGGTTATTTGAGTTACTTTTGCCTTCCTGTCGGCTCAAAGCTGCCTCATCATTCTCCTCTGACATCAACAAGGTATAGGATAGGTGTACCTAGCAAAGTGCAAAACGACTGCAAAGTTACTTGAATTGTTCAAGTCACTTGAACATCCCTTTGTTTTCTGCACTGCGCTGGATATTGCCTTACAAGTAATTATACTGAGTGGGGTGTTTCGAGACTTTAAAGTCTTCAGGATTATCTATGCAGTGCCAAATACTGTGTCCCCAAAGGGAGCAGCTAATGCACCAGTGTCTTTAATCCAGAGTCAACTGAACTGATGCCTTAGAGAAAAGTTAAAGGAATCAAGGGCATCCCAGACTGACATTACACTCTATTCAGTCGTGGTTTGTGCTCAGAAGTACATTTTAGGAACTATTCAAACACACAGTTCTTTCAATTTTCCTATTTTCATTATATGTTTGTCATTTTATTCTGACCTACATATGCAGGACAATTGGGAAAAGCTGACAAAATAAGAAATGCAAAGAGGAAAAAAAAGAGCAGATAAAGTAAGAGATGGAAGTCTCCTAGCAGCGGTAAGAGGAGACGCGCTGTTGTTGAGAAGCAGAAGTGTAGCATGAGGAGCACAGGAAACGTCATGAAATATGTAGGAAGGAGCAGCTCAGCACCGGAACACAAAGCCATTAAAGAAAGCCCTGGAAAATGCAGTCAGCTAGAAATATAAACGTCCATTTCCGTATCGTTCATAAATACTCTCGCGCATGGATAAAAGCACACACACGCTTTCACATCTCCTAGAAAAAAAAAAAGTAAAAGCTTTAATACTCATGTACACAGTTTAACACATTCTTGTGCTCTCAGAGACGCAAGCACGAAACTGCACATGCATTATCAGCACTAAACACAAAGAAAACAGAGCCAATCTCGTCTCTCCTCTCTCTGCTCTCCTCCTTCTCTTCCACTGGACCTGAAGATGTTTTTTAAATCATTGATTGAGTACATGCAGGAAACCAGCGAGACAGCTAGTCTGACATGCAGCAAGTGCTCTCAGTCTTTCGGGTTAAACAGCAGACCAGCGGACAACTCGCTCCGAAGGCGGTTTAGGGCGAGAAGAGGTGGCGCTCTGAGCTCTGAGCACTCACTTCGCCCTCAGCCCCGTACAACTCAGGCTTGTCAACAAGGTGCTTCAGCTGTGAGGAGGATTTGGTGCAGTGCTGAAGATGTAAGTGAAAAAACCATAGCACAGTGCAATAGAATCCAGTCATATTGTGACTTGGCACTTATTTGCTGTTCAGCATTTCATAAGTTTTTATGTGTAATAATGCATCATAAACTGGAAGACTGACGGGATTTTATGTTTATCTCTCTGGCAACAGCTGCAGCTCAGGGCTGGAGGGGCTGTGGAGCCTCACAGGATTTAGTTTGTTTGTGAAGACTGGAGGAATCTATACTTTCCTTTGTTCAAGCAGTCTTAAAATGTCCCAGCGTTAGATCTCAGGTGAGGATAGTTAAAGGATTCATTGACTGGATCCAAGGATCGGGTTTTACAAAGCACATTGATTTGGATTTGACAGGATTTCAGTTTTGTTGTGGTTTTAATTTTGTGCTTCGGTTATCAGTCTGCCTGAGCTAATGTCTTCACTTATTTCACTCTATTTCTCCTGATCTCAATTCAGTCTCAGGGTAAATAGTGTTTTCCCCCTTTTCTGCACTAACATATATATTTATTCAGGATCAGACACAGTATCACCACATACTGGACAGTATGGCAGATTTTATTTTTTATTTTTTTACAACACATGCCCTTCCTGACACACACCGGTGGGATTTGTGTCTCTTTTCAGAATCGAACCAACGATATTTTGCTTTTTGGACAAACGTGGGACCAACTACACTAGGAGAGCAGCAAAAAATGTCTTCTTCTTCTTCTTTCAAATAAGAGGACTTCTGACAAACGCATGACACATAGCAGAGCAAAGGATGCTTTTGGAAAGACTTATGCCACACCTTTATGTGACATTAAAGATATTAAAGCACAGAGTTGATCTTTTCCTGTTAATATTATTCACAAGCCCATTTTTAAAGTAATGAAAATTATTTTTTTCTTGGTATATATGTGGGTACATTTATTTTAACAGAAATTAAAAAAAACTGAAAGTAAGTTGCAGATCTTTTCAGCAGCTCATGTTAGGTCAAACTGCAAAAAGCAATTGAAAGTGATAGTTATAGACTCGGTTTCTCCACAATGGAGATAGCTCAGCATAAATACCTGCATCACGAACTCAGTGCTTTACAGTGACTGTCTTCACTGTCTGATAAAGACACTTGCTGCTGCTGGTGGTAGAGGGTATGTATTATCATCTCTGTGGCAAACAGAAATGAGACCACACAAGTAAAGCACATCAGTGTTTCCGTCTCTCTCCCACTCAGCCAGCCACAGCCTCTCATAATTGCAATCAATAACTCAAACAGTTTCCGTCCATGTTATCACTACTATCATCATCACCACCACGCCCATGGCGCTCCATCGTTTTATCTTCTATAAATCAAAGTTCATGAGACTTCACTCTATGGCAGTCACATCTAGCCACGGTGACCACAACGCAAATGCATGGATCGCTACTGGGCTTGCTGTTTTCTCTCCACTGCCTGAATCGTCTGAGCAAGGCAGCAACCTCTCCAGTAATTTACAGCAGAAGGGAAATTAAGGAGCAAGCTCTTATTAAACGACGAGTCATAATAATAATAATAATAATAACAATAATAATAATAATAATAATAATAAGCGTGAGGTTGTTGCAGCCCCCTAGTTTTAATTCTCCATGCCTGCGTAAAATTGATCCACTGCGTCCACGTGACATTCGCAATTATCAAAGACTACGAGATGGACTGGTAGATGAGACGCGCAGGGCTTTAATCTACCTGAATGCTGCAGGAGATCTCGGAGTCGTCCAGTAACCGGATCGTACAGAGTATCTCCTGGTCCAAGGAGCGGAGGCTGGGGCTGCGAAACCGGAGCATTTTCATCCTTCTGTCGGTTCTGTTTCAGCCCCTCATGTCGGAGGTTCCACAGACAAGACCAGACGCGCGCAGAGGCTCACGCACACGGATGACTCACGCACACGCACGCGTCCGCGTATACATTGCCGTTCAGTCGGGTCTTGTCACCCCTTGAGACGCCCTTGGAGATGAATAGGTGGATGGGGTGGTGGATGGTTAGATGGATGGATAAGAGAGCGGATGGATGCAGCAGAGAAGGATGGGAGGAGAGCTTTCATCCGTCTCCAGCCTGCCCACTGATGGATCTACAGGACGGAGGATGGTTTTCCCTCTACTCCTCCTCCTCCTCTCTCTCTCTCCCTCTGGCTCAACCCCACTTCACAAGTGTCTTGTGACCCTTCTCATTGCTCCTCATTGCAATTACGTCCAAATGACACGGGAGACCTGGCGAGTGTAGATTGCCCTGCCCCGTGGATACCCTTTGATTATAACTATTTACCAATTATAACAAGTGTTATTATTTCAGAGGTTGCTGATGCTGCAAAAACGGCATCTTTACCTTCCATATGTATTTTAAATGTTTGCGTTAGCGATAAATAATAAAACTCATATAATATATATGTATTGTTACTGATATTTCCTCATTGTAACGACACTCAAACTGAGATTAAATAATTAATTCCATCGGTAATGACGTCAGAGTCAATTTGGTTGTAACGCAACACCGCGGTCCCTTTAATTGTTAACGTAAGCGACGTGCTTTGTGCGTCATCACGTCCCTTAGCAAAACAGCCAGAGGCCTTGGTCAAATCGTTCGTTCACGGGATGTTATCGCCTCTTTCCTGCGCCGGAGTCACGTTTAGCAGGCAGGTCTCACATTTTTGTTACTGTTTGTTTCAGCTTTTCAGGAAGGCTTGATTTTTTTTTTCGTGACGTAAAACCGAGGCTGGTTTTTCTTTAACGAACAGCAACTGTAAACGTACTAAAGTCTGCCAGTAAAGATTGAATTGAATTTTAGTGGGAGGCTGCACTTCAGCTGGACTTCCGCGTTTAAGAACTGATCGCTTTTTATAGCTACGGAAGCTCCACCCGTTCATTATAACGGCGGCATCGGTTACAGTTTAAACGTCCAGTTAACTGGACAGAGCAAAAACAAAAAACAACCCAGCAGATTAGTCCTTAAGGAAACTATCATCAGCTGTAGAAAACATTTATGCATGCACTCATCGGCCACTTTATGAGGTATCACGTTGGACCACCTTTCACCTTCAAAACTACCTTAATTCTTCATGGCATGAATTCAACAAAGTGCTGGAAACATTCCTCAGATGTTTTTGCTCCACACTGACATGATAGCATCAGGTGCAGATCCCAAAGATGCTCTACTGGATTCAGATCTGGCGACTGTGAACTTATTGTCATGTTTAGGAAACCAGTGTGAGATGATTTGAGCTTTGTGGCATGGCATCCTACTGGAAGCACCCATCAGATGATAGCAACACTGTCGTTATAAAGGGTTTAAATGATGGTCAATTCAGTTTCAAGGGGTCCAAAATGTGCCAAAAAACATTCCCCACACCATTACACCACCAGCAACAGCCTGTACTGCTGTTACAACGCAGGACTTGTTGTGAGCTTTGTAGTATGCATCAGAAGATGGTTAAACTGTGGTTATAAAGGGATGGACCAATGACTCCAGAAAACAGTCATTGGGATGGACGTGGTCACCAACAGTACTCTGGTAGACTGTGGTGTTTACTTGAAGCTCAGTTGGTACCAAGGGGCCCAAAGTGTGCCAGTGAAATATCCCCCACACCATTTCCACTCCATCTCTAGCTAAAGCTCTGATACAAGACAGGATGGATCAAGAATTTCATGTTGTTTACCCCAGATTTCTGACTGTGTACCATCCCAAAGAACTGACGCTCATGAGATATTTTCTCTTTTTTAGACCAGTCTCTGTAAACCTTTGAGATGCCTGTGTGAGAAAATCCCAGCAGATCAGCAGTTTCTGAAAAACTCAGACACATTCAAATCACCTTCATCTCCCTTTGTGATGCTCTGTTTGAACTTCGGCAGGTTGACCACATCTGATGTACTTAGTTACTGCTGTGTTATTGGCTAATTAGATATTTGTGTAAACAAGCAGTTGAACACGTGTGCCTAATAAAATGGCCAGTTAGTTCTCACGATTGTCATTATTAATTTGACTTAAGTAAAATGTTCAGTGGGTGCTTTTCACTTCTAATGATGTATTTTTTACAATAATTTATTAATATTGATTTAAACTTTAAAGCTCTAAAATCTTACAATCAGATATATTTATTTCCTTTTTCTTGTTTAATCCTTTTCAGGAAAAACCTGCTTTAAATATAGTGCATGAAGAACCACAACCAGGATGATCTACATCATAATGGGAGTCTCGGGTTGTGGAAAGTATGTACACAGTATGTTCATGTATTTCATGCATAAGTTTTGTGAAACAAAAGTAAATGAGCTGTTTCTGTACCATTATAACCATCAGTATATAACGATACCCTGTTTAATAGAGATTATATTGACAGACAATGGCAATTTTATTTATATTACACATTTTATTACATGTAAACTCAATGTGGTTAACACAACAAATAAAGACATAAAAACAATGTCTTAAGACAGTGAAAACAGCACAAAAAAGAAGTAGAAAATTCTCACAGCTAAAAGAGAAGGTCCAAAAAAAGTGAATATTTTCAAAACTAGTTAATAATATCATATTTTTATGATATTAAAGGATGCTGACAGTTGTTTTATTGCAACATTTCTCAAACGTTGCTAAACCAGTTTTGTCCTTGATACTCTTTATTTATTTATTTTAAATATAGAAGCACCTTTGGGATCTTCCTATCTGAAAAGGTAAGTAGCCTCAACTCTAACCAACAACCTCCCTACACACACACACACACACACACCTCCCTCTTGGTTCCTTGTGTGCCTAATACTCTTCTGTCCATGTGTGTTTACCCATCAGCTGGGTTGGCCCCTGTACGAAGGGGATGACTTCCACCCACGGGAGAACATCGAGAAGATGTCTCGCGGTGAAGCGCTTACAGATCAGGTCAGCCCAGGTGTGTGTGTGTGTGTGTGTCTGAGTGTGAGTGTGCATTCTGTCTGCTTCACTTACATGTCAATCATTTATGGCGTTCAGTCTCTCTTCTGTCAGGACTAAATAACTCTGTTTGACTTGCAGAAATGCACAAAATCCACAAGTAGCCGGAGGGAGCTTCAGTCGTGCAGACAGTGAAAGCAGCAGGGAGCGATGCTGAACTTTTCATAACAACCGTCAGTCCTGAAATTCAGTTCAGTCATTTATTATCTGTTTGTTCAGGGCTCATCTCCTCCCCGTCCATGCTGACTTTTTAAATAAAGGGAGCCCTCCAAACAATTGTCTGGCTTCCTGCCAAAGTCGAGTGTACAGGCTTACAGGCAGAGGAGCCCCCGCCAGCATTTGGCAGCAGTTCACCGGTAGCGGTGTTTGGTGGCAGATGATAACCTCCCACTCAGAGGTCTGCTTTGAACAGCGAGGAGAATTACCCAGGGACGTGCTCCGTCCAACCCTTTGGCATATTTTAAAAATTGTCAACAGTTGGCAGTTTGAGAATAAATGATGTGCGAGGAGTGGAGCAGAAATGTAAATACAGGATTACTGTCAGGCTCTGGCAAAATGTGTCTTTCATGCTACTATTAGAGTTGGCAGGTTGAGGTTGGCGTGACCAAACAGGACATGAGCGCGCTCAGAAACCTGCATGCAAGGGAGTGAGTCAGATCTGTGCAGCCTCTGTGTTCCTGAGGAGCTTGCATAGGTTGAACCACATGTTTGATTGTCAAAAGTGAGAGAAGTACCTTCTCTGGGTTTAATCTGCTGAAAACTGTTACCCAGAAGTTATTGTAATAGTCATTAAATCACATCTTCATTGACGGATACCAAAGTGTTCTAACTTGTAAATGACAGTACAGGGAAGGTCATCAAATGTCTTTTTGAAGGAAACAGACAAGATTTCAAGTCTTTTCCAGCATAATTCAAAGATTCTCAGTGGGCTTTAAAGGTGGACCCTGTGGTGTCCAGTCACAGAGTTAAAAACATGTCTGACGCTTCCATAGTCACTTTCATAATTTGAGCCCAATGAATCCTGGCATTGTCATCTTGGAATATGCCCCTGCCAATAGGGATGAAAATATTAATTAATGGAAAAACCTGATCGAACCTAAGTAGGTTCAGGTAGTCAGCTGACCTCATTTTTGGGCACATAATGTTGCTGAACCTTAGACCTGACCAGCTGTAGCAACCCCACTTCATAACAGGCTCGTGTGGTAGGGAGTGGGGTTAATGACTGCAGCACTTCATCCTCTTCTCTTCTTACCCTTTACCGTTTTCTTTCCACTCATTACAGAGTAGATCTGGACTCCTCAGACCACATGACCTTTTTGTTTTGCCTCCTGGAATATCAGAGCTCTTTTTCCCCAATTAGCGTCGCTGATATGTGGTTTTCTTAAGGCCACGAGTACTGCAGTTTTTTACAATTTGCTTGATACAAGTCAATAATTTGACCCTTTTTTTCCACAATGTCTTTCAAAATGTTTCTTTAACAAATGAGGAGCTGCTCACGTCGTTAGTTTGTGTTAAATCATTTGTTGCCAGCCGAAACACGATATTCACCGCAGTAATTACCCAGCGGAAGGCTCTTAGTTATTTGTGTAGTTAAATCCATGTGGTGACTTTTCTTTTAGCCATATATATATATATATATACACACCAGCTGGAAAACTATTTAAAGGAGTTAAATACACAATCTTAAACTAAGCTGTGCACAACAAAAATCAGTTTTTGTGTTTAGCGTTTGCATTTCTTTGTCTCTGCAGGACAGATTGCCGTGGCTTCTCAAACTACACGAAGTCATTCAGAGGTGAGCGCTAACCAATCTCTACAAATACATAAGTTCTATCATTTCAAAGGACACAACATTGGCTTTTTTTTTTAACCCATCAGCCTTTTAAAGGTTGATGTGGGGGGTGTTGTCATCACATCAAAGGTTACAAAAAGGAGGGCGAGGCGGCAGGATTTTGACCTCGACCTCACAGTCAAGGTCAAAGGTCAAGTTTTCTAAAAATCTTGTGACTGAGGGGGTAAAACTGATGGCCACCAGTGTTTTGTGGCAATTTACCCTAATATCTGCTGTAAGCCAACTGCACACACACACGTTTCATGAAAACAGGTATTTTTTATGACATAAAGGAGAAGATGATGGGTTTAGAGGTAGAGCTGAAGAGCAGAGGAGCGAGGTGAGAATGTGCAGGCATGAAATTGTCGAGAGAGAAAAAATGTCAACGATGGTCGTGAAAATTGAGATGAAAACCAGAGAGCCAGGAAAAACAGTTTGGGGAGTAAAGACAGATTAAGTGAGGAAAAGAGGTGAGGGAGAAGCAAAAAGTGTGTCGTCTTTTTCTAAAAACGTCAGCGGCAACATCAAAGAGTCCTTCTGCTTAACTCTTCCACACTCAGATGCACTTATTTTTCTCCATCCGCTCGTCCTTGCGTCAATCTTTTTCTCTTTAGTTGTTGAGACTAAAGTTTACTTTAAGCTTATTTTTTTTCAGTCTGAACTTCAGTAGTTATTCATTCCTGCCCTCAGCAACTTTGTACATATGTTCATGTCTTCCTGTCACAGAGAGAGGAGTTCAGGCTCTGATGCTCTCCTGGTGTGCTCTGCACTGAAGCACCAGTACAGACGGATCCTCCTCCATGGCTCCAAAGCCCTCACTTCCCCTTCGGAGACAGACCAAGAAATCTTCCCTCCGGCTTCTCCTGATGTCTTTTTTCTTTTCCTTCGTGGTGACTATGAATTCATTTACCAGAGGATGGTGGCCCGGAGGGGTCACTATATGAAAGCCGACATGCTGCGTTCCCAGTTTGATACTTTAGAGGCTCCGTCTGATGAGGAGAATGTGTTGACACTGGACATCCAGAGGGGCATCGATGATATGGCTGTGGAGGTTGAAAGGCACTTAATCGACCACAGGTCAGGGCTACCAGCGTAGCCTTGACCACCACAACAGACCACATGGGATCCTTAGCAGCTGTAACATTGATATTTCAGCAAATATTCAGGATCCTGCAGGATTACATTTGAATGACTTTGGTGATTCCCTGTGTGGCTCTCCACAGCAACCAGGAAGTCACAGTTTCCACTTATTTGAAAACATCCAGCATCTACTCGATGGACTGGCACACGAGCTTGACAGTGGACATCAGATGTTTGGGTTTTTTTCCCTCTTTCCCTTGAATATCTTGAAAACAGTTGAGCAGTAGATGAATCCACATGTTCGATTATTATATTGTCACAGATGCACTTCCTGATGTTCCCCTCCTAGTTACCCAGGCTTGGACAAAGACTGGAAAGTTGTGACTCCACAGGGCTGGTGTGGTGTCTCCTTCTGGGGTCCCTGTGGGCATCTTTAGCATGTAAGGTGAATAAGTTAAATACAACATGGAGCCCATTTTTATATAAACTTAAATCTATATAATTTTACAGAAATATAACATCTCTGTAAATTTTGTAATAGATTTTAAGGCCTCGGGAGTAATAAAAAGTATGATTAATGCCTTTATTAGGACAAAATTAATATTTTTAGATACTTGAAAACTAAATACCTACAAAGCTGTGATAGAAATGATTAACATGTCAACATGACAGACTAAGATGATGAACATCAGTGTAATCACACTGTCATGTGACATTTTAGCACCAGCAGTTTGCCTAAGTAGAACAACACAGAGTGTGTGGCCTTTACTGTTGTTCTAGTCCCTTTTGAATAGCTAATTAATGTCTGGTTTGTAGTGAGGATGAGAAATAAATCACTGTTTCAGTCTTGATGTAAAACCACAGAGTGTGGCAGGCTTGACGAGCTCATTAGTTATTTAGTGAAGAGTGGAATACACAGTATGTGTGATTTTCTAGCTGGTTGCAAACATTTAAATATTTAGGTGCCATTCTAATAAATGCATTGTGTGTATGTGTGTAAGCTTTGAAACTGAACCGGTTTGTGCGTATTTAAGGATGGTATCTTTTAAGAATATGCCATGGTGAAGATAAAAGGTTTTTACAGCCTGCTGTGATTTCTGCCTGTGGGGGTGTGTCCTGCCTTAGGTACCGCCCTTCTGTACTGCTAAGACCAGAGTGCTTAATTAAGGCCAGATAGCACCATCTTCCACTCCACACAAATCTAATTGTTTTTTGTTAAGTGACCAGCTTTTAGGTTTTTCTGTGTTTCTCTTCTTTTCATAGTGATAACATGTGACGAATCTCCTTTAGAGAAGCTCTTTATTTGTCCTGATGATTGTCCTCAACAAACCCAAAGATAGTCAGGTCACATAAGCATCTTTGTTTGTTTTAGAGCCCTAGAAAACTCTGCACAGTGTCTTCTCTGCTGAGAATGTTTCTTTATCATTTTCAGGATAACAAGTTTCTTCTGAGATTGAAATCTTCACACCAACAAAGTCGAATCATTAAAGAGATTTAACCTGAACACTTCACTGCTCCCCTCTGTGAGGTTCAGACCAAACACTCAGACACACTCTCTCACACCTGCACTTGTGGAGCTGTTCTAGTGTTGTGACTCATCTACAAACCTCAACCCGAATATTTTTGGAGCTTCTAATCCAGAAACCCCCCCTCCCGGCTACTCTCATATCTCACACATTCAGCCGCACACACACTTTGCTGGAGATTAACACCCCCCCAGTCTGGCGGCAACAGACAAACACATGCAGGTTGTCAAGCAGAGCGCATCCATCTGATGACAGAGTACGTGTCCCGTGTGTCAGGTAGCTGTAAGCCCCCAAAAGGCAGGAATGGAAAGCAGAGGAACGCTCTCAGTTTAAGAACATCTTTTAATGTTGTTCAGTGCACGGGTCTGTACAGTTTCAGTAAGTGGAATAACACATTTGACCCAGTTTGTATATCTTGCAGAGGTGAGCATGCAGATGTGGATTTCTGGCTTACATTCTAATACTGTAGGCAATAACATGAGAATAACAATGAGTTAACTTTGACCTACTTTGCTACATCTCAGATTCAAATTGATTTTCATACAAGCCATACTAAAAGACTCTAAATGCCACCTAGTGTTTCTAGTGGGGTAGTGCAAGTTTAGATATTAGAAAGAAAAGCTTTGAGGAGTGTTATTTCTACAATTTTGTGGATTAAATACTTAATCATATTTATTCTTAATACATTATTACCCAAAAAGAACAATTTGTAGCCACAGAAAATCCTGCTAAACTAATGCTGCTGTTTGACCCTACTGCAGAACAACTGCAGAACATTATATTTGAACACAGAGGCGTGGAGGAAACGCATCTTATACAAAGCCTCATAAATTCAGCAACAAATAGCACGTATTTACATAAATGAGAAACAACAGAATTGAATTCAAAGTAAATAACAGCATTTAATAGTTCTGTTTACAACAGAGCCACGAGTCGTCTAAAGGATGTTGCTCAGTCTGTTGTTTGCTCGTGAAATCCACAAGGAGATAAATGAGCCTGCTCCTTATGGTGCAAAAATACTGCAGCATAGAGCTCAAGCTTAAGGGAAAGCATCACATCAGGCATTTCATGGCTGATGTATTTTTCTCTTGGCTGTGCAAACCTCACTTTCTGTACCCGTCTAACCTCAAGATAAACACTGACCTCCAAGCAGGTTTGGACTTTGCATAAAGTCATCTTCTTTCTTTGAACGTCTTCTGAAACTGAGTCTACGTTCGAAGACAAACTTTGTAATTATTTACGGTCTTTAGAGCCTGTGGTGCAGAAGCCGCAGTAGCAGCTAGACAGAGTGGGAACATCACGGAACATATTGCACTCCTGGCTCAGTCTGTTGGCTGAGAATGAGAGTGCAAATTTTCTGCGTGCATCCAGGACATCTGACTGTCTCAGGGTGCTAAAAGCTTTCATTAGACTGTCCAGGTGGCAACATGAAGAGGCCTGAGCTTTAAAGTGTGGCAGAAGAGAGATTAAATAACTTCCCCTAGGGATCAATAAAGTATTCCGATTCTGATAATAATAACAATACAATGTGAATATTTCTGCAAACTTGCATTGTTTTACGTCTACAGTCTATAACAACCCTGGTTCCAAAAAAGTTGGGCTGTTGTGTAAAATGTAGATAACAACAGAATGCAATAATATGCAAATCTCATAAACGCACACTATTTCTGGAAAAATATGAGCTCATTTTGAATTTGATGGCAGCAACACATCTTAAAAGAGTTGGGACGGGGCAACGGAAGACCAGAAAAGTACATTTTAGTAAAGAAAAACAAAATATTGAATGCCCATTTTACACCTGATTTTGTTCATCTGCAACAGGTCAGTAACGTGATGGAGTATAAAAAGAGCATCTTCGAGAGGCAGAGTTTGTCAGAAGTAAAAGTGGCCTGTGATTCACCAAAAAAGTGAGTTTACAATTTGTGGAATAATTCTGATACTTTCCCACAATGCAAAGATTTTGAATATTTTGTCATAATATTATCAAAAAAAAATAAATTCTAAAAAATCTGGACTGCATTAAAAACAGACATGATTCTGTGTTGGAAATCCCTGCATGTGATCAGGAACACTTCCAGTAATTATTGTCTGTGAACGCAGTTCACCATGCAGGTTAAATGCAACAAAGAAGCCGCATGTAAACAGTGATCCAGATCCATGCCATTTTCTCAAAGCTCGTTTAAAATGGACAACGTGGAAATTTTTTCTGTGGTGACAAAAATGACCACAGAAAAAATTTTGAAATTCTGGAAAATACGGACGCTGAAAACTGTCTAAAACTATCTGGCTTGTTATCGCCGTTCAGTTCAATAATGACTGATGATACTTGAGTGCATCAGTGTGTAGGAATTGGAAGTTTGCAAATCTAAAAATTCACCATCAACACTGAAAGGTATGTAGAGGTTCTAGAGACGCGTATGCTCCATCCAGATGACAGCTTTTCTATTTCAGCAACACAGTGCTAATGCAGACTGTATCTATTACAACAGCACGACTCAGTAGAAGAGTCTGGGTACTGAACTGGCCTGCCTTTCAGATGTTTCACCAACTGGAAAGATTTGGAGGATTGTGAAAAATACAACAAAGAAACACAATATTTCTCTCCCAGAAGTCCAGCAGCTGGTTTCCTCGGTTCCCAGATTTTTACAGACTGATTAAAGAAGAGGGGGATGTTACGCAGTGGTAAACATGGCCCTGACCCAACTTTTTTGGGAAGGACGATACCATCAAATATGAAATGAACTTATTTTTTTTTTCATTTTTTAAAATTAATATATGGGTTTAATAGATTTGCAAATCATTGTATTCTGGTGTTATTTACATTTTACATTGTGTCTCAACTTTTGGGGAATTTTGAGTCTACACAGACCATGACTGGTGCATATAAGACAGTGAAAGGCATTGTGTTCTCTTGTTTCTAATATTAACCCACACACTCACACTTCAAGGACAATAAGGATGTAAAAATCCTCCTCCTGTTGTCTCACTTCTCAGTCAGTTTTACATGTACCTGTATACCTCAATATCATAGATGCATACAGCGCTCACCATCCTCAGACCTTTAATTTGTTTGACTGAAGTTTAAAGTGTAAGTGTAGGACAACAAACAGAGTTTAACATTATGTGTGTGATATAAGTTAGTTTTTGAAAGTGCATCAAGTAAGTATGGCTTTTTATTCTCTTATGTTTTTATCTTTTGCAGTGTATATGTGCACGGATGAATACGTGTCAGAGACTGAGCAGGTGTTGTATAGCAGTGGTGAGATCTCCTCCTGTGCTGATGAGGGCCTGAAGGTTCGCCTTCCTGTCTCTGAAGCCCATTGAGCTCAGCTGCTCCAGCTCCTCCTTGAACTCTCTGTCTGTGTGATGGACCTGACACAACATGACACAAGAGTTATTTAAAGTCTTACTTATTAAAATAATGTGTGAAAGAATTCAAAATGAGATCATAATTAGCGATTTAATTGTGAATCCTTTTAAACAAATTGGAAAAGATTAATAAACCTTCCCAGATTTAGTGATTTTGTTAACCCAGACACCCAGTTTTGTTTCTGGGTATTTGGGTATGAGTCTCCCTTCAGGTGCAAAAACATCTGGATATGAATCAGAAGAAAGTCCAGGCAATGTGGGAAACAAAGGTAAATGTTTTGGGGAGGAAAAGGAGAGGAGGCGGCATGAAAAAAAGTTTTTATGAATAATTGAACTCAAAGAGATGGCCAAGTCGCTGCTGCGGGGGATAAAAAAGGAGCACTGCAATAAAATCGAAAGCAAAAAAGAGAAATAAGTCAATAAGTTTGTCAGAACCACACTCCCTCACACACTGGAGTAAGCAGCAAAAAGCTCTGCGGCAATAACCACCAGAGCTGAATGCTGGCAGCACTCAGCCGAGTTTAGTGGTTCTGCAGGAAAAAAGCGTCAGTATCTAAGAAAGGGAAAGACTAATGCCACCTTCCTTCCCACCAGAAAACAGCGACTCTACCGGGGCTGTAACCCACTAAGTAAATGTTGGATCCACAAGTAGAAGCACTGACTCTGAAACTTTAACGATTAACTAGAATTTGAGTCACTGAGGCCCAGCTGGACCTGCTTCAGTAGGTGAAAATGTAAAATAGTTTAAACCACTGAACAAATTAGACATCATTTGGCTCCATGAGATGTAGTGTGCTACTCTAATTTATCCACATTCATACCAGCAGCTGTTAATGCAAGCTGATATCAAGCAGTCAGTCACTCTTTATACTGCGTAGTTTTTTAAAAGTACTGAATCACTAAATATCAAAGGCGTGTATCATTTGCCTGCCTAAGGGAAATTCTCATTTACTGTCAAAATGCTATTTACTACTGATATTTTAAATTGAGACTCAACGTTGGAGACAGACAAAAAGTTTATAAGGTAGTACCTCGTTATTAGTGTTAGCCAGGGCCTGTAGCATCTGCTGTACAAACTGCTGCTGCTGCTGCTCTGTCGCTGAAGCAGCCTGTTGGCCGCTTCCTGATTGGCTGTTCGGAATGGAGTCAGATGGATGCTCAGAAGCGGCACCGATACCTGTTCCAGTGTTTCCGAGAGCATTCCTGCATGACGGGCAAGACTGGCGATAAGGTTTCTCTGTCTTTGAAACACAGTTCTTCCACCACAATAGATCTCCTTAGGTTGTTTTTACTCACGCAGGTATGAGAGCTGGAGCCTCTGCAGCCAGAGTATGCAAGCCCTGTTGGATCTGCAACAGAGCCTCCATGGCTCTGGGGTTCAACATGGCCGAGAGCAGCTCTGGAGCCTGCATCTGCACATTATTGATAATGGCAAAGTTATTAATCATACCCACTGAGCAACGGAGTCAGAGTAGAATCGTTTTCCTGCATTGCTAAAGATGATCATATCTACATGGATTTTATGAAAAACCATGGCATCTGTCCAGGAACAAGAAAATTATTAGTGTTCCTAATGTATTGCAGACATCTAATCCAGCTGAAAGACAGCAGGTTAACAGTTAGAGGAATAAGCAGACCTGCTGCAGAAAGACAGGGATCTCCTTTCTCATTTGCTGCTGCAGCTCAGGATTTCCAGCCAACAAAGGGTGGCTCAGAAGCATCTGCAACAATGCAAAAATGAAAGCAGGATGAACTATATAAGATATCTCTGCTGTTTAGGAAGAAGGAAATGTTGTCCTGCAGTTGCCTAGTGAAAATACTGCACATTTAAGAATTAAAGTGTCCATGCATCACCTGTGCAGCCAGGTCAGGGTTCTGGCTAAGGCAGTTTAAAAGACTGCTGACGTATGGCCCAGACAGCAGGCTCTCCAATAGACCTGGACTGGCAGTGATCTCTTCTAGCAGTGACTGCATGCCTGAAGCAGGAAGCCATTAATAGAATATTTTAAAAAGCAGTTCAATGATATCTTTAAAATATTTAACACATTTAAAAACATATAACCTAAGAATGCCTCAAGCATAAAGCTCATGCCTGCTGTGATGCTGCTTTGAGAGTTTGACCTAGCTCTGGATGTGGCAGTCAGTTCACTGAGAGGATCTGTCAAGTGACCAGAGAACGTCTGATTGGATTCACCCTCCAGTATGTGGTGATTTCTGGGTGATGTAGTCACCGATGCAGATGCTCCTACCTTCTGGTAAAAGGCAAAGCAGATATTAAAAAGAAAACAGGTTAAGCATACAAGATAAGTTTAACCTGACCTAATAATAATCATCATTTTCAAAGTCACACCTGTAATTTTGCTTCTGGGTCAGAATTGTCAGTAATGACTTCAGGATTTGCCTGCTCTGACTGCAAATTTTCTAAAGCTTTGTCCTCATTGTTCATCATTTCTTCTATCATGTCAGGGTTCTTGATGAGCTCCAGCAACTGGAAAGAGAGATAAGTGCAAAAACATACTCAAAATATCGGAGGGAGAAATCAGGCAAGGAGGAAGCAACTGTACTCATACTGCAGTGAAATTAGAAAGGTTAAAATAACAACATTTTTGCAAGTGTCTACTCTATACTCTAATGTTAGTACAGATGTTACAGTGCTCTGACATCCACTATACCCACCTGTGTTATGACATCTTTGTCGTTAAGCATATCTTCCACTTCTGGGTTTGTTTGCAGGAGCTGCTGAATTTGGGGATTAGACAGAATGAGCTTTCTGATAAGTTGAGGGCTAGAGGTGGAGAGGGTGCTCTGCACAAAGGGGCTGCCCAGGAGACGATGCATCATTTCTGGGTCCACCAGGAATCTGTTCTCCATCTGGCGCTGGAGCTCCGGGAAGAAGCTAGTCCCGCTGTCTTCAAGGACAAGGCTGTCCAGACCTTCTACTACAGAAACAAGGTGGAATCAACAGAATGACAGATTATAAGTTCACTGAGGAGCTGAGTACAGAGCAACAGCTGAAGCTCAAACAAAGAAGTCTGGAGAAATGAGAACCACAAACTAGATTTATGAAAATAGTTAAAGGCGAGAAGAGTTCCCGTGTTCTGCACATCTTACCCAGGCAGAGAGGAGAAGTAGGGGAAGGTGTGATGTTATCCGGTTCAGGGTGGAGGTCTGGGTCAGTGGGAGGTGGAGCAGATGAATGCTGAGGCCTAAGACAGATACCCAGTTGTTTGTTTGTTTTTTACACAAGTTTGGTATAAATAGACTGTATATCAAAGGAACCTGAAGGCAGAAGTTACTTATTACTTAAAATTACTTCTACAATTTTAATTTTAAAGAGCAGACAGAGTGTGCAGATCTCTGACTGAGAATCTTTGCAGACATAATATTTTGTTTAATACTTCATGTGATGGTGGGGTGATCAAATTCTATCAAATTTAATGTGGAGCAAAATGTACGTTGATGTGGGACAAAGTGGGAGACACTACCAGTGCTTTATATATACGACCTAAAATGTGACTTATATGTAATGTTCTCCCTGTACTCTAAAATCTCACCTTCCACAAGCTTCCAAAGTAATAAGTAGTTTGCTTGGCTTTTTCATAGATTTATTTGATTTGCTTTGGGAAGACACTCATTAAATTCTGACAAATTTAATATTTTATTTGCTCTATTTTAATATTTTATTTTACTGGGTTTTATTGTAGTTTTTCATGAGGCTATATATTTTTATATATTTATATTATATATTATTTCTATATTCCCTGCTCTCTGCACAGACATTTTATAAAAGCCAAATCGAAAAGTGAAAGTTCTGTATTGTTGCACTTTGAAAACTAGAGCCAATAAAAATGTGGAATATTCTCTGAATATGCACAATAAACAGCAAAGAATAAAAATGCTGTGTAGTCCCAATGTGGTACATGTGGTATCCAATGTAAGGCAGTGTTTTTAATATTTACTATGATTTAAAAGCAAATAATAAATATAGCTACAGCTAATGAATGTGCAGTTGCCTTTTATTAGTGCCAGATTTGTCTGCAATATTTTCTTAAGAGGTCACTAAAGTTCTTTGCAGCTGACTCTGTTGCATAAGTAAGGCGCAAAACACAGGAGGAACAATATTTAACACAAGCGCACACAATGATTTACTGACATATGTGACATGTAATTTAAAAAAGAAAGTAAAATCTGTCTTATTTTTTTTCTTGATATTGAAATGAACTGACTACACTGTGTTTCGAAAAAAGCACAATTTTTTGTAAATTCCCAATAAACTCACCACGCCTATGAGCACTATTTGGGTGATTGGACTCACATACAATTTTGCCCCTTTTAGTAAATCTGGACCTATATCTTTATTTTCTTTATCTTTATTAATACCAAATGTTGGTTTATTACTAGCGACGGCATGAACCCATGCCATAAACAGAGCAGGTTGTTCATACCTTTGGATCATGCTGAGGCGTACCGACCCATTCAGTCCTTTAAGGTGACTCAAGGGTTCAGAGTCTTTGAGGACTCGACTGGAGTGGATCAGGACCAGCTCTTCTGCTGAGGCTCCCAGGTGCTCTGACAGACCCCATTTAAACTGCACACACAGAAACACACAACCCCCATTGTTATTTAATGGTGTATTTAATGGTGATAACCCCCATTGTACCAGCTCAAAGATCAGCAGCAAAGACACCAGGGGCATATCCAGACAGGGGCCTCGGGTGGCACCAGCCAATATAACTTCCATCCTGGGGTCTCTCCACCAAATCCATTAGATGAGGGCAGTGAAAGAAACAGTAATTCAATGTAGCAGAGTATGACTATTCAAGACTTTAATTAAGTACAGTTCCAGTGTACTTCTACTTTAAGTGATTCATGTTATGGTGTTTTCTACTTAAATTTACTATCTTTTGGAAGCAAATACTGTACTCTGCACTTCACACCATTTATTTTAGGAATTCAGTGAATTATTATTTTGAAGATTTTAAAATAGGAATCTACATAGTTATGGAATGCCAGGACTGCCAAAATGAGTTAATTAAATACGGCATTAAATAATTTATTAAATGTGTCAATAATTAATTAAATACATATTTATGACATATTTAATTAATTAATTATTGACACATTGAATTAATTATTTAATAGTGTATTTAATTAATTAATTATGGCAGTCCTGGCATTCCATACATGGTACATTATGCGGTTTGACTATAAATAAAGCGTACATATAATCATCTCCGGCGGAAAGATTTAAGTGATATACACATTAACAAACCAGTAACTACAATCCAATATATGATTTTGAATTGTGTGACAACAGTAAACCCACTGAATACACCCATATACATATAATAACATACAATCAGTGGCCACTTCATTAGGTACAACTATTCAGCTGCTAGTTAAACACAAATATCTAATCAGCCAGTCAAACATTTAGAGTAGAAAACATGATCAAAATGACCTGCTGAAGTTCAAACATGCTGCTGATGTTGAGAGCATCAGAATAGGAACGAAAGGTGATCTGGCGATGGTTGTTTGAGAAAGACATGGTGATCTGAGCACTTTACAAACTGCTGATTTCCTATGATTTTAGCACATAATTGTCTCTAGGGTTTACAGAGAATGATCTGAAAAAGAGAAAATATCCAAGGAGTGGTCATTATCTGGGTGACAATGTCTTTTTGATGTCAGACGTCAGAGGAGCATGGCCAGACTTCTTCAAGCTGAAAGGAACGCAACAACTCAAATAACCCCTCTTTACAACCATGCATGCAGAAGAGCGTCTCTGAACACACAACACGTCACACTTTGAACAAGATGGGCTACAGCAGCAGGAGACCACAGCAGGTTTCAGTCCTGTCAGTTAAGAATGGGAAACTAAAAGTATGATTCAGCAAAACTGGACAGTATGAGATTGGGAAAACATTGCCTGGTCTGAAGAGTCTCAGTTTCTGCTGTGAAATTCAAATGGTACACAGTCAGAATTTGGGGTAAAGAACAGGAAATTATTGATTCATCCTGTCTTGTATCAGAGGTTTCGCCAGTGGTGGTGTAGTAATGGTTTGGAGGATATTTCACTGGCACACTTTGGGTACCTTAGTACAACTAAGCTTCACGTAAACACCACAGCCTACCGGAGTACAGTTGGTGGTCACTGTGACCCAAGGCGACCCTTTATCCATCTTCTGATGGCTGTTTACAGCACAATAAGGAGCCATGCCACAAAACTCAAATCCTCTTACACTGGTGTCCTGAACATGACAATGAGTTCACTGTACTCAAATGACTTCCACAGTCACCAGACCTCAATCTAGTGGAGCACCTTTGGGATGTCAAACATGGATGTAAATGATAAATGGACTGGTTCCTGTGTACAACATGCCTCATTCGTCCATTCATACAGCAGCACTGTACTTCATTGGTTTCTATCAAACATACGCACACACATCTACACTCTGATAGATGCATCAGAAACCAACTTGGGGTTAGTATCTCCAGGATATTTAGCACGCAGATATAAAGGGACTGAACCGACCTTCTGATTAGTAGATGGCGTGCTCTAGCTCCTGAGCTACAGCCACCCCCTGTGATGTACAACAACAACTGTGCGATGCTCTCATGTCATGTGAAGATGCTGATAACTGCTTCCAGCACCTTGTTGAATCTATACCACGAACTTAAAGGGCGTCCAGATGTAACTAATGAAGTGGCCTTTGAATTATATTTTGTTACTGGATTCAGGGCCACTCTTTAGCTAGTACTCAACTTCGTGCTAAATACTTAAAAAATACTCCTTTTTTGCCTCTTTTCACACAGTTATTCCATTCAAAACAATCTTCAAACGTGCAGAGTCACTTTTCACATAATAAATCTGTATTAGCACTCTGGGCTGCACATGAGTCCAATTCTAATTTCTATACCACATTAGTACCTTTAGTGATCCGCCCCCTTAGTTCTTTAGCCACGTAAATTAACAAAAACATTAATTTCAGTCTATTATGGCATGAAAATAAAAGTCTCAGTGACGTTGTCAGCCTGTTATTACAAGGCTCTGAGGCCAGCTGGCTGATTGTGCTTCCCTGACCTGTCTGACGGTGCAGTCTCCTCTAACGATGAAGTCTCTGCTCTCCGTGACACTTGTGACGGTAACGTGGATCCTTTCAGCCCTGCGGCGGTGTCTCGGTGTTGTAGTTTCGTCTTTCACTGCTGCCGACATCACTTGTCCGGCCCGCGGGGCTTTAAACACGGTGCAGAGCAGGAGCACACCGTCCCGACGCGGGCTGCGTGTCTGTCCCGATGACTCGGCAATTAGTTGTGCGGATGTGTGCCAGCTGAGGCCACACCGGTCACTGAGGTGGACACGCAAAGCCCACACCTAGCTGCTTCTATGCACAGATCTGATGCCCCTGCTGCCTGTTATAACAGTTTTTGAGTGCACTTCGACTAACAAAAATAAAATACTTAATAATAAGCCAGTTATGTAACCAGACTTAACTTAAAGATATAGTGCACCATAAAAATCAGACAGCAGTTCAAATCCTAGATGCTCTCAGTTCACTTTTAAACTCTCATTCCAGCAACAATAATGAATCATTATAATTTTAACAGCCTCCAAAGGTGACGCACAGGTGATAAGTGGTAGTTGATGACAATAGTCTAAAAAATTTTTAAATCCTTCTTCCTTTTGAGATTTGACCCAAGCAGATTTAAAGTATCTTATTTTCATCTGGCTCATGTTAACATCTAATGACTCAAATGCAATTTTTTTTTGGCTTGTTTGAGGCACTTTTACACTTTTTTTTAAAAATTCCTCTTAGGCTCTTCGATGCTTTCACACACAAAAAGTAAAACCACATTTTCACTGAAAAAGTAATTTATTTACTTAACAGTGGGAAAATAAAGAAACAAAACAACTTTGCATTACACACCTGTCATTTTGGCAACAAAACCTTTAAAGATCAGGCACAGAGCCTTCAACAGTACAGGAGATCCAGAGGCACTCTAAGGCCTGAAGAGGGCAGCACGATGTGCCAAGCAGCTACTTTAACACAAGCTTAGAACGTTTGTCGCTATTTCAGAAAGCCTCTTGTAAATCTTATTTAATTGTGTAACATATCGTGCCAAATCTAGCTTTTTCTGTTAGTGTGTGTGTGTGTGTGTGTGTGTTTAGGGAGGGCATGCAAAACAGCCTGACCAGGAGTCTAAGATTTAACAACAACAACAACAAACAAAAAAAACCCCTGATTTTGATCAATAGTGGGAATATTCTTCAGGGCTTTCTTCATTTGTTTATTTCATTTTGTTTTCAGGCATTTTCCTTCTGAAACCTTCATAGATCTGCCTCTGAGCCCTTCTTCCCTTTCTTGTTTCCCTGTGAAACAGAAAATTGCAGAAAGGACACAATTATTTATGGATATCAGATCTGTTTGTGTGCTTTTATTAATTCAAGTCAAAAGATGGATGTAGAAACAGAACATAAATGAGGCAAACACAGTCTTTATCAACTGGGGGAAAAAGAAAAAAAAAAAAGAAACTATATTGACTTAAAAATAAAGAAAAAGTGTTCAAATGCTCTGACCTGAATCTAAGCTCACCGCCCCCCTGACTGGGCCGAGTAAACTCTTTATGTTTCTGTCCTTTGGCTTACTTACGCTGACACTTTCTGACTTTACCTGCCTTACAGGCTGAAGTTTTTCTGTTAGGTTTCCACAGTTTCTACAGAAATCCACGAAAGCAATGAGGTGCATGCATGATCATAAACTAGTATGCAGTCAGTTCAGCGTAAATGAAGATGGAGACAACACTTTAACACCAGTTCTTCTCTCCTACAATGAAGATACCACACAGAAGAGTATTTGTACTCTCACCTGGTGCTTTGGTTGTTCTGACTGCAGTCCTTTTACTTTAGATCTCTCTTGTTCGAGGGCAGCGTGCAATAATGTTACCTAATTAAAATGAAAAACACAGATTTACAAATTTAGAATCCCCCCCAACACTCTCTCTCTCACACACACACACACAGTTACAGACCTGTGAAGACAGCTCTTCTTTAATATGCAGTAGCTCCTCTACCTGTAGAAGAATTTCTGCTTTGTCTTTCACTGAAAAAGAGAGAGAACAGAAACATCACACACGATATCTTCATCAGGAAAGGAAAGGATAGTCAAAACAACCACTTTTTGGACAATGATTCTCCCCCACAGTGGGTTTTAAATCAAGACAATTGAGATGTGACTCAATCGCAGACAAACACATTACATTCGTTGTTTAGCAATTGCAGACAACAACATACATATTCCTCTATATTCAGTCAATCCTACCTTTGTTTGCAGGTCACTCTTACTTACAATGACTTCTCTTTGGATCTCTTATTAGGAGTTGGAGGGAAAAGTTAAGAAATGCAAGTTCACTTAGAACAGCAGCTTTCATCTACTTCATTTGTCATGAAATAAGACGGCCTTAGCCGTCTATGAAAATGCTAGTCAGTCAATTCTGCCATTACTTTTGAACCACTGAAAATAGAGGACTGTGCATAAATATATCAATAATTCAGAATCATTTAATGCAGAAGTCTGCACCTCACCCACATCTCGATTGTTTGATTTAAAATCCAGAAGTGTTGTCTTGTTGTACAGAAGAAAAATTACAACAACAACAACAAAAAAGTGTCATTGTTCAAATACTTTTGGACCAAACTGTATCTACTGTGTTATCAAACTCACTCTCTCCCTGCTGCAGCATCTTCAGCAGCTGAGCATTTCTTGCTTTCACCTCTTTGTATTTTACCTGCAGAGACAAAAAGAAAGATTCTTTTTGTAGCACTGGACACAACAGTGTTGGCTGCAGGTGTGGTCACCTTTCATTTTTTCTGTCACAGTGTTACAGTGGGGAACGCTCATATTAATCATGCATATAGCTTCAACGACGAGTGAAATAAGCCAAAAGCTTCAGACTGATCAACATGCTCACATTCTGACATTTTCTTTCAACTCTTGTCTCTGTATGGTGTTACTGAGAGTGGATTCACTAACGTGGTTATCTCAGACTCACAGCTTTGGCTCTGTGCTGTTTAAAGGGCAGCAAATCAGCGGAAAGTGGCTCGCAGGGAGAGGAACTAAAACTGCTTGTTTCACACAGTCAAAGAGGGCTGAACAAAGGCAAGAATGAGAAAATTTGTATTTTTGAATTATGAATCATCCAAAGCTACTCCAGTAGAGTCCAGTGATAAAAATATGCAGTTGAAAATTAAATATGTAGACATTTTTTTTTTTTTTTTACAGAAGTCCACACTAACTAACAGTGCCATAGCAGCCCACAGCCTACGTGAGTTGAGTAAGAACATCTTAATGATGATGACAAACCAACACTAAACCCAACCTGTTTGGCTTTAAACATGGCAGAGATTTTTCTGATTAACTTCACCGTTTCTACAGCTGTGAAAATCAAATTTCCTTTTTGTGACTCATCATGCAGGAAAAGAAAAAAAATAAATCACTGTCCTTCTGAAACTGAAAGATGATTAGATCAGATAACTGTTTATGGCTGCTGACCTCCCACTGTGAAATGTTTTTTTTCAGCTTATCAATTTCCTGATCTTTCTTCTCCAGCTCATACTTCAGCTGCTCCGCTCTGGGGTCCTAACAGGAAGAAAAACATGAAATAAAATCAGCAAGTAAAGAAAAAGAAACTTCACTTTGGTAATGGTGCATGTATGCAGTTTCACAAACAGCTTTTCAGATGTACCTTGAGGCGGTTTTAATCACTAACCAAAACTCAAAGGAAAAGCTAACTTTGTTCACTTTCATACCCGAGTTAATGAGAGAGCTACGCGAGTATTTTGTGGTACTTGTGTCCACTCACTGGTTCGTGTTCTGTTGACGTGCTGACTTCTTGTCCCTGGCTGTTCGTATACTGCTCGCGTCTTTTCTCCCGTTGGATTATCCGACTGACATCATCTTCCAACTTATTAAAAAAACGTTCGTCCTGCCCGACTCCCAGTGCTAAATTAGCCGTTCTGGAGTCCTGGAAGGTAATTTGGTTGATGTTTTACACATTTTTTTAAGTTACAAACAAAATATTTAAAAAATTAATTTTATCTATAATTCGTCCCTCACTTGTTCATTCACATTTCTGTGCAATCTATAAAATATAAAGTAAACAGAGTGGAACCGGCTCACCTCTTTCTCTTGTTTTCTACTTAAATTTTCTGCAAAGAGAAAACACAATGCAATAACTAGTTACAAGAAAATAACAATATATGCAATGTAGTAAATCATATATATGAGGTCCATATATAAGACTTTAAAGTAATCTGTAAGCTGGTCTCACCTGCACTGCTTTCAGCCTGGAAGTCTTGCAGAGAAACTGTCTTTTTGTCTTTTGCCTGCTGATTCTTCTTTTTGTCCTTCTTGCCTCCACCTTCTTTTCCTGACCGTGACTTTGGCGAGGACGTGTTTGTGTTGCTCTGATGAATGAAAGCAGATGCTTTGACTTCAGTTGGCTCAAGTTCTTGCTTTGCATACCAGAAATAAATTCTGTTTTGTTTTTAACCCACAGAAACTCAGGCAGAGTCATTTAAAACAAGATCCTTTAATCACCAACATGAAGAAGGAATAAGGTAATACGCTGACTTATAATTTAAGTGAACATGTCACAGGTGTGTCAGAGCGATGTGCGACTTACGTAAAAGTGAACATACAGCTCTGACATCTGTGCCCCCAAATGTGGCTTTCAAAATGAGAATATTAGTGTTTTTCTGCAGCGTACCTGCTTCTGTTGTTCATACTCCAGTTTACTTAAAATCAAGGCCTTTTCCAAGTCTGCCTCATATAGTTCTGTGGTTATCTAAAAGAAAAGGAAGAACATTGAATTTTAGGGACTTTTCGTGTTGTGTGTAAGGTCAGGTGTGGCCTGTGCTGCTCTATGAGGGACAGTCATACAAGTTTTACTATCTCACTCATCTGTAATGTGAGTAGCTGTCATTTCTAAACCTGCTCGTCTCTCTGCTTCCACTGCTGCCAACCCTCCGACGGTGTATCCTGGTCCACCGACGTAGGATTGAGAAGTTCACCGGCTATTCCTGACAGCGTCATACAGGGAGAAGGGGCAGAAGATTTCTGAGGAATCTTTTTGAAGGCCAGATTACGCAACTAATAGAAAGAAAGATAAAACAACCTGATGTCATCATTATTGACATAAACACAAATTCTATTGTTAGCTGTAGAAACCATCAACTTGTCTATGTGCGCGCAGCAACAACAAAAAACGGTCTGTTTTCTCAGGATGTATGCTGCCTGTGGTTTGTGTCTGTGGAGTGGAGGAGGATTTGTTAATGCGTTTAAGTGGGTGTTGGGCCTGAACACATTCCTTTTAATTGTGTTGCAACATTGTTATTCTCAGAGCTGAACATTTTCATTTTCCCCATTCAAGGAGACAGTCTTCAAATCTTCACATTACAGATTCTGAGGCAAGATCATGTTTTAACTCCCTGCTTATGTAAGTCTAATTTCTGTCTAACTACAGTCAGATGCAAGAACAAAAAACCAGAAAACTTGCACTTTGAACTGATTAACTGTGCTGAAACCAATTTTTTATTATTTAGTATTTTTTCCTGGGATTGGACCAATTCCATATAAGAATTTAGCCTGCAAAATCCACTGGATGCTGTCTACTCCTATGTTATTGGATTTATTAAAGATGAAAGCTATCACACTGGCAGCTTTGAATAAAAATCTGGCCAGATATCAGTATCACCAAGAAGGCAGAAAGCATGCCTGCATGCTCATTTATGAGGACTTGGTATGTAGGCTTCTGCAATGTAATAGCTTTAGATAAGTTCAGCGCTGATAACCAGAGACTAGTTTCACAACCATCACCAAATGATGTTAAAAATCATAGCGGTTTGTCAGAATCTTGAGGTTTTCTCTGTAATATTGCACTTTACAATATAAAATTTTAATGACCTCAACGAAATACAACTTACATACTTATCATCTGAACAGCATTTGTTTCACTTCATTAGTAGCGAGCACACCAAAAGCAAACCACAACCTGTTTACCTCTCCCTGCCCTCTGCAGTTTCGCTTCAGGAGAAGTGAAACGACTGAAGAGCCTGATCTTTCTTCATGTCACTGCAAAATAACACATATGTAAGAGGCAGAGAGCTGCAGGCTGTTCATCTCACTCATTCACCTCATTTGCCTCACTCTGCTGCTGCTCTTTCTTCTTCTTCTTCTTGTCTTTCTTCTTGTCATTGCCCTGAGCAGCTTTCCCTCCGGCTGCACCTGCTTTTCCTTGTCGGGGCTTCCCAGAGGAGTCCCGTCCAGTTTTGGTGGTAGCCTTGCCCGACTCGGAGGTGTCCGAATCCGAATCTGAATCTATCTGTAGCAGAGCAAAGCGGGATGCTGTGGTGGGGACTGTGATCATTGCAGACGATGCCATCATGAGAAGGCAAACTGAACGATGAAAGCAGATAAATGTACAACAGTTTATTCAGAATAACTTAGAGCAGATCATAAAATGACGAGTTAGCGCATATTCACAACCTGTTTGTTTGTTGTTGGGTTTTTTTTAGTACCACAGTATTTCAGCCAACACCTCCATACAAAGCTACACACGGAGTCAGCACTGTGATCTTATGACAACAGACAGTAGTACAGATAAATGTAAACCATTTAAAGAGCTCCGTTACAAACAGTCAGTGGACACAGCTAGATTAGCATCGCATAGCAGCAGCGTAACAGCTAAGGCTTAGCCAGTGTTGTTAGCTCCTAAACAAGTGCAAAAGTGCCGCTCCATGTCAGTTAAAAGCACACGCGTGGACTCACGTTGATCTCCTTTTTTCAATGCGCTCACTGACTTGTGTTAAAGAAGGATTACTCACATGAAAACTGTCTGAGGATACTTTCACCTGTTCGCAAAGGGGCTGAGGGTTATCGTTGGTTTGCTACCAGCGATTGTCTCAAAAGAGTACAGAAGCCCGGCGGTGTCAAAAAGGAAAAAGGCTGGGATTCCCTTATCCTCTGCGATGCGGATGCAGAAAAAGAAGTGTTTACGATATGTGCAGATATATCGGTTATTATGTGCAGCATGTGCGCAGTTTGTTGACTGAATCGCTTTTTAACTGCACAATACTAAGCGATTATCGCACAATAACTAGCTAGTTTAGCCTGTTGTCATGGTTACACCTTAGTTGTCGGATGTCCAATCACGACCTGCCGTGTTCGTCATATTACAACAACTATCATATCACCATGACAACCGAACGGAAATACGCATTGGCGTAAAACAAATTGAAATATAAGACAAAGATAACCCAAGTAAATATAAAATGTAAATTTAAAGGTTGATTTCATTCATTAAGAAAAGAACTATCCAAACCTACCTGCAAAAGTAATTGCCCCTTAATTCTAATGCTTTTAATTTATAAATTTCATTGTCAAGTATGTTGGTTTTATTGCATGTTAAAAAATAGTGACCGCATTTGCAAGTTTTTTTTTAATTTCTAGTGTATAAAATGTACAAGAAGAGAAAGATCACAGCACCCTCACACCAAAATTAGGTTTGAATAAGCCCAGATAATCAAGACAATACAGTGAGGTGAGCATTTTAGTGTGTTTAATAAATTAGATTGTGAAAAGAGTAAACCAATACAAAAATAATAATAATTTACACAGCAATCAACATAAAACTACATACATAAAGTCCACGCAAAGTTGTCATCAAAAAGCTTCATAATCCTGCAACAGTGCAGCATATTAAACCTTAAGCATTCACAATGAAGGATTAAAGATAGTGCTCCATAAACAAAATTGCTTTAACTAATTAATGAAAACTGTCTACGTTTTACGAGAATGTTCCAGCTTGCTGACTGACTTTGCATCAATGTAGTGGATATGGATAATGATAAGTATAAGATGATATATAGAAATACAAGAAAAGAGCCAACATATTTATGGCACATTTATGATTTAAGACATTTGAAAACTTGAAAGGTTTAGAACCGCCCCAAAAAATATGTGGGAAGAACAAAACCGTGTAGGATAAAAATTTCTAACCACACTGGAAGACAAATAAAAGGACTGAGCAAGGAGTAATGAGATTTTACTGCATCATCTCTCCAGGTCAACAGTTTGCAGTTCTTATTTTTTATGATGGTGCTGTTGTAGAAAGGTGAAATAAAACAGGAAAAAAAAAGCAAAACAAAAATAATTATTGTTACAAGAAATTTAAGTTCTTCTGGCCTGAACTCTAAAACCCCATTAAGTCATTGCATTGAGTGCCTTACAACATCAAACAGCTTTGTTTACTTCCTGGTATCTACTACTGTTCCTGACATCTACATAAATACATCACCTGTCAGTGTTTCTGAGGACTTCTATAGAGTCCTCCAGGATTGACTCAGTGCTCATACCCACAGTAGACGGTCGCCTCCCAGTGGTAGAACCAGAGAGCTGCAGGTCAGCTGGAGTGATTTGCTTCAGATCCCTGCGACACAAACGGACTGGTGTCATCTCCAAACCTTCCCTAGACTCATCTCCTACTCTCCTCCCCAGGGACGGTGTGAGCATTTGGGTGTATTCTGGCATTTTTGTCTTTTTGAGGGTTTGGCGGTTAGAAGAAGAAGAAGGGCACTTGGTTTGGTTTTCATTTCTGTTCATACAGAAATCATTGTGTATCTTTTTGTCCATTTTCTCTGCATTTATTTTTTGGTATGTTGTTACAATATGCGTCCGTGTTTGAACCTCCTCAGGATGAGTGTGGGCTTCATTTGAAGAAATCTGCATCTTTTGCATAGGTTTGTGCTCCTGTGGGCAAGAAGGCTGATCATTAGGCTGCAATGAATCGCTGAAGATCACTCTGAGTTTCTTTTTGAGCTGCCGGCTGGTGCTTTTGTAGAAGTAAAGCTCTTTCTCCAGATGCTGCAGTCTGTCTTGTGTTGCCTGTTCTGCCTCTCCTGGAGCACCCTCTGAACACATATGCAGACATACTGTGAAACCAAGTGTCATAAAACAAATTCAAGTTCAAATCCAGGCTCCACAAATTTCCTCACCTTTAAGTTTCTGCAGCAGCAGCTGGATGTTGTACTGGTGATCTCTGTGTTGCTGGGTGAGCCTGCGATCTGTATCCAAGGCCAGACGCTGCATAGCAGCCTCCATCTCTCTCAACAACATCTTTTGCTCTTCTGCCTGAAGTTCCAGCTCTTCACAGTGCAAATGTAGATGGCGCTCTGTCTCTCGAAGACAAACAACCTAAAAGGATAATAAACTTTCTGATAAAGTGCAGGGGCAGCAAGCTTCCAAACTTCTCTCTCCAGTGCATTCCCAAGCAAGGTGAGAGATGTAATTTCTCCAGCATGTCCTGGATCTGCCCTCCTCCCAGTAGGACATGCCCAAAAACACCTTACCTTAGAGGCACACAGGAGGCATCCTAGTCAGACACTCGAACCACCCTAATTGCCTCCTTTTGATCTCTTTATATTTTAGGGACACTACGCTACAATACACAACAATGTCAGAGGGAAAACGGCAACAATCACACAACCTACTATGAGAAAGCACTTGGCAGAAGTGGGCAGTAGTGGTGCAATAGTGGTACACCACTGAACCACATGTGAAGAGAAAAAGAGGTGGGTAAACTTATTAGAAAAAAGGAAATCCTGCAGCTGTATTTCTCAGCAGATATGGTCCAACTGCAGGGGGAGGTGGAGAAAGATGGATTGAAGATGGGTTGAAGATAGAGAAGGATATAATATGAAACATAAAAATGATGGACTGAAACAAAAAGACTGAGACAGAGTCCAGCCCCTCTCCAGGAGACTGGTTCCAGAGCCCAAGCCATGCGTAGAGGTGAGCCTGACTATATCTAGCCGGTACCTCTCAACCTCACGCACTAACTCAGGCTCCTTCCCCACCAGAGAGGTGACATTCCATGTCCCTATTGCCAGTCTTGGCAGTCGGGGAACAGTCCGCCAGGGCCTCCGCTCCTGGCCACCACCCGGCACACAATGCACCCGACCCCTATGGTGCCTCCTGCGGGTGGTGGGCCTGTGAGAGGATGGGCCCATGTCTCCTCTTCGGGCTGTGCCCGGCCGGGCCCCATGGACTAAGGCCCGGCCACCAGACGCTCGCCCTCGGGCACCCTCCCCCGGCCTGGCTCCAGGGTGGGGCCCCGGTAACCCTATCCCGGGCAGGGTAAACTGTTCCCTCGATGTTCTCTTCATAAGGGTCTTCTGAATCGCAAAAGCCCCCAGACAACATAGCCCCTCTCCAGCGTGGAAGAAAAGGAAGAGAATTAATAGAGGATTTGAAGACGGAACAAGATACAGTATAGAACTAGAAAGGAGAATGTATATGGATCATATGTAAAGCAGAATATTCCGTATACACATATGTATGCAAGTATTTTACGTTACCTTGTTGAAATATTTCACAAGCAGCTCCAGTGCCTCAGGCAGCGACAGGCCCATAAGTTTTCTGGTGACATCACAGAGTTGGGCGGGTTCAGCGTTTTGTGACTGATGCAAAGAAAAGTTTGTGGCCGACAGCTTCTTCTGTTTGTCCTGGATCGAGCGGTTTTTAAACTCAAGTGCTGCATCCAGAGCTTCGATAGCTTCTTCCACCTGGAGAAGGGAATGCGTCTCCTACATGACGACACACACACATCACTTCACCTAAACCTGTACCAGAAATACATCGTGGTCAAATTTACACCATACACACAACACTCCCTTTGTTCTGACCTCCACAGTGAGCACTTGGTTGTCATTCAGCTGGGCGTCCAGAGCGTCTCTTCTCTCTTTAAGCAAGTCTCTCTCTTTCTCCAGTTCCTTCATGGTAACTCCTGCCTTCCTCCTCTGTAGCTGCTTCTCCAGCGACTCCAACTGCATCGACACGTGCAGCAGGTCCTGACTCAGAGCCTGAAAAACAAATTGATAATAAACCTCCTAATTCTACCATTTATATGTGTCCACCTAATCTTTTACTGTAATTAATAAAGTGACTTGTGATAGTATTTAAATTAAACCATAGCAAACACAGTCTGACCTGACTGGAGCACAGCTTCTTGGTCTCTAATTTGCTTTTCTGTCGCACACACGCCTCCCTGTGAATAAGAACCTCCTTTCTCCTCTTCAGCTCCTCCTCCAGCTCATTCAGCTCTGCTCTCTTCTGAAGAACATGCTCCTCTTCCTCCTCCAGCCAACTACTGCAACACAGCTACAGTGAGAAGGTGAGGGAGGGAGAAGAAGGAAGGAAAAGAGGAAAGGAAGGGGCACAAGGGCCAAAAAAGGAGATTGATGAAGACACGACAAAGGTAGACCCTAAAACACTGTAAGAAGTTTAATACCTGAAGTTTCCTAAACTAAACTAAACGCACTGTCCAAATGACTATTTCAGGGGAACAAGAACAATGTTTTACCTGTTCATTTGTGTCCTTATACAGTTTATATACAGTTGAAACTTCAGCACTTTGCTCCTGTAAAAACAAACAAAAACAAACAAACAAAAAACACCCCCCCCCCCCCCCTTATTTGTCATATATTGTTCAAATCTGATATTTCTCTTAATGATAAAACAGTTTTCAGGTGATCACATTATTATATTATTCCTCCATTTTCTGATTAGTTTAAATACATTAAGGTTTTATAAGATAAAGGTCAAACTGCTTTTATGTGAAGATTATAAAGCTGACTCATATTTAAACTTTCGTTAAGCAAAGATAAATATGAAAGTGAGAAAAAGTTAGGCGTATGGATGTTTTTACCATTTTGTAAAACTGTGAAAAAACTCTATTGTTTCTTTTTAAAGTTGATTTTTTTTTTCTAATTATTAAATATTTTTCCTTGGTATTGCTCATTTTGCCCCATCAAGTATTTGGACCAACAAGGCAAAATGCTCACACAAAAACAATTTTAATAAGTTCATCTCTTTTTTTTTTTATTGTTGTTTAAAATAATCTGTACAGCTAACCTCATTTTCATTTTGTTGGACTTCTTTGTTATTCTCACTGGTCTCTCTCAGGCTGCTCTGAAGCTGTGCTCTCTGCGCTCTCATGTGCTGCAGGCTGTGATACATCTCCACTCGCAACTCCCGTCTCTGCAGGGAAAGTCTTGCAAAAACGCCGGCTTTTCTGCCGTCCTCAGTTTGCCTGTCACGTGTTTCCAAAGACTGAGTTTCCTTGTCTACCACACAAAAGCACACACTTAGAGATGCATGTACTG